AAACAAATAAACAAACAAATAAACAAACAAACAAAACAACAAAACAACAAAACAACAAAACAACAAAACAACAAAACAACAAAACAACAAAACAAGAAGAAGTAAAGGAGACAGACAACAAAACAACAAAACAAAAAGAAGCAAAGGAGACAGACAACAAAACAAAAAGAAGTAAATAAACAAACAACTAAATAAGACAACAAGAAGAAGCAAAGGAGACAGACAACAACTAAATAAAACAAAAAGAAGTAAATAAACAAACACTAGACAAAACAAAAAGAAGCAAAGGAGACAGACCACTTGGTTAACAGCGTAGGAATCGGCGGGGCGTCAGACGCATACTCCGACGGCTCGGGGACGCACTGATGATATGAAGCGGCCCGCGCCTGAGCACCTAAACCCTAAACCCTAAACCCTTAGCAACAACCCTAAACCCTTAACAACAACCCTAAACTCTTAACAACCCTAAACCCTTAACAACAACCCTTAACAACCCTTAACAACCCTTAACAACCCTAAACCCTAAACCCTAACCCCTTAACAACCCTAAACCCTTAACAACAACCCTAAACCCTAAACCTTCAACCCTTAACAACAACCCTTAACAACCCTTAACAACCCTTAACAACCCTTCACAACAACCCTAAACCCTAAACCCTTAACAGGCCTAAACCCTTAACCCTGAACAACCATAAATCTCTAACAACCCCAAACAACCCTAAACCCTAAACCCTAGCACCAAGCCTTAGCTAGCTAGCTAGCTAGCTAGCTAGCTAGCTAGCTATAGCCCTGTAGGTAGTTAGCTCTATATATACATAGAAGTAGATAAATAAATAAATAAGTATATTTACTTGCTGAGCTTCTGAAACAGTCTTGAACTGCAGATGTTTAAAACCCGTTATATCTAAGACATTATTTATATTTCCGCGTTCGTCTGTCTGCGTCTGTTGGTCAGGTGCATAGCGCCACTGATCGTCTACTGCAGTTCACAACAAATAAATAAATATATATATATATAAGTAAATATAAATATAAATAAATAAATAAGTATAAATATCAATATATATATGTACATGTTTGTTTGTTTGTTTGTTTGTTTGTTTGTTTGTTTAATGTGAATGTGTTTTGTTAATGTAGATATTTTATTTATTAGTAAAGGGATGAATGTAATTCACAACATATTTATTAAACAGTCTATATATATATATATAAATATATATATATAAATATATATATAAATATAAATATATAAATATATATGAAGGAATACATACTATTTATTAATACACTAATAAGTTTATCAATAAATGTATCAGCAGCTAAATGCATCAACAATAGCAACAGTAATAATAATCATCATCGTATAATAATTATATATAATAATAATTATATTAATAATAATTATATATAATAATAATAATTATTATTATTATTAAATGCATTAGTAAACCCTCTGTATCTATCTAAAGAAAGAGGTATATATATATATATATACATACATATATATATATATATATACATATACACACACATATATATATATGTATATCTTCTTCTTTCTTTCTTTTTGCACGAGTAAATTAAATAAAATTAAATAAACTGAATAGACAATAAGTTGATAAAAGAACGCATGCAAATACTCACCGATAAATTTATAATAATGAACGCCTCGTCTTAGATTGTAAATAAAGGAAAACTCGTGTCCGCTTCTGTTGAGCCGAAATTTATTTTCGACACTCCAATTATTAAAGGACCCCGTCAAGTACACCACATGTCCTCCGTGTATCCACCTGCACATACACCTCAATTATATATAATTATATATATATATATTATATATAATAAACAGTATAAACAATGTTAGGTAAGTGTAATACTCGCAAAATAATAGCTAATTATCGTAAAATCATACGCAAACAACAGACTATACGAAACAGTCAACAATACTGAACATACAATAAATAATAATAAGCAATAAACAATAAATAATATTTAATAAACAATAAACAATAAGCAATAAACAATAAACTACAGACGACGCGAAGAGAGAACAAGTAAGGCAGAGCGGTAGAAGCAGAGCACGCGTTGGCGGTTCGATTAAGCTAGCTACAGCTAGCTAGCTACAGCTAGCTAGCTAGCTAGCTAGCTACAGCTAGCTGTAAGGTGAAGAGGCGCACGTGAATACGCAGGGAATAAGACCGTCATCATCGCTGTGCTGACGAGTATCTCCAGGCCCCCGTCCGTACAGCTGAAGGTCTGCTCTTGGAGATGTTGAGAAAGATCCATCTCCTATTACTCCTCCATGAGAAGCAGAAGCTGCATAATTTAACCCTATTTCATCTGATGCAGCTTCCCCTGTCTGTAAGGGCCCAATGCCTGCGTCGCCACAACAGCAGCAGCAACAGCAGCAGCAGCAACAGCAACAGCAACAGCAACAGCAACAGCAGCAGCAGCAGCAACACGAAAACAAGAGGGTTACAGTGTACAATCACCAGGTAAGCATGCATACATGCATGCATGCATGTATGTATAAATATGCTTGTGCTCTTTGTGCGGATGTTTGTGTATGTAGAGATATCTCTGAAACTCCAGAGGAGTAAGACTAACAAGGCAATGAACGAAAGACAAATAAGAAGACGCAGAGATTGCTAATGTTAAGGAGAGTTGTTCACCTGGTATTCCACTTCGGTATGTATCATTAAAAGCATGTTGACGGGTTGTACTTGTTTGAGACCCCATCGCCTAGCGCTTTAAGAAGAGGTAAACGGCTCCATTAAGGAGGCCCCAAGGCTTTAATATAGCTTTCTGAATTTGAAAATAAAGCAAAAATCAAAAGAAGAAAACACCCAGTTCAGGTGTATGCTGAGGTCCTTCGTTGTGAACGAAACCTGAATAAACGACGGCGGCTAACAACAGCTGCACAGGGGTGGTGATCGGAGGGTTTTCCAGGTTGTTCTGGAGTTATTTATTTAAATTCCTTCGAAATAAAAAGAAAAATTAAGTATTTTAAAGAAGAAGAGCAGCAGAAACAAGAAAAAAACAACACTGACTCGTATTCGAGCACTGCCGGTTTCGCGATCGCTTGCAGGTGTATGTACAGCACACCAAAGGGGTTTGCGGTTATTTATGGAGTTTTATTCAGCTTTCTTCATCTAAAGTTGTGTATTTTCAACATTACATTCGAATTAAATCGATATTCTTCTTCTACACAACGCATGCACAGCCATTGCCGCCACTGACACCCGCTGCAGGTGGTGGTGAGGGTTGGGGCTGGAGGAGCAGCCACCTGAAAAATATAGTTCTTCTTCCTTTTAAAATAATATTTATTGTAAAATAATTATCTATTGTTACGTATTTTTACTATTAAGCATCCCTCCCACTTATTTTCACTAAGAATCTACGACGCACCCGCAAGACTACTACTACTCTGCTGGTGGTTGAGCTGTAGCCAGTCGACTGTCATTATGTCTGATGTTAGTGTTTTAGGGTTTAGGGTTTAGCATTTAGGGTTTATTATGGTTCAGGGTTTATGGTTTAGGGTTTGGGGTTTGATTGTTTAGGTTTTCGTGTTGTTTGGGGTTTGCCTGTCTGTGTAAGCTTTATCAACATGTATTTTTCTGCTGAATAAATTAATAATAATATTAGTCTTGTTTTTTTTAAATGAATTACACTAGGGTTTATTACAAAGTATAAATAATAACTGCATTACTGTCAGTGTGTTATATGCATATCCATATCTTTTTTGTCTTTGTTTGTCTCTCCTCTCCTTCTTCTATTTTTACTCTTTTTGCTGTCTTATACCCATGACGTCTTCAACTTGAATACTGCGTTTTAATTCAAGTGCATTTAGCAGACTCTTTTATTGCGTATTTACTTCAATAATAATATTATTATTATTATATAATCTATTATTATCATTATCTCGATTGTTTACTTAACAAATAATAATATTATTATTATTAATCTATTATTATCATTATCTCGATTGTTTACTTAACATCCATTATTATTATTGTTATTATCATTTATCATTATTATTTATTATTATTATTATTATTATACTTTTTGTCTATCATTTCTTTATTACTTTTACTAATATTAATATTACTATCCGTACTTTCATTACTTTTATTATTATTATTATTATTAATATGATTATTATTATTATTATTTCTATTATAAGGATTTCTTAATATTATTATTAATATTATTGTAGTCTTTGCTGCAACTAACATAAGTTAAGGGGTCTCTCCTCTGCATCGTCTTTGGTGTCTCTATAGACTCCTGCTGCTGCTGCTGCTGCTGCAGGCAGCTAGCTGCTAGCAGCTGGTGCTGCAGCAACAGCAGCTACTGCTACAGTTGCTGCTACAAGACAGCAGCAGCAACCCTAAAGGGAGCATCTGCTTTGCATGCAAGTAGGCGAGAGACTGTCTGTACACTGCAGCATCTGCTGCCTTCATATAGCTGCTGCTGCTGCTGCTGCTGCAGCGCTACTTCGTTTTTCTCTGCTTCTTTCTGTCTCTGATCGCTATAGAAAATTGTTTATTTAATAAATATAATTATGAATTATATTTAATTATTTAATCAATAAAGTAGTTTATTTTATTAAAACAAAAGAAACAAACACTAGACAGCGCAAAAGGGATAAACACCTGATGCAGCTGCTGCTGCAGCTGCTGTTCTGCTGCAGCTGCTGCTCTGCTGCAGCTGCTGCTACTGCAGCGGAACGATGCCGGGAGACCTCACTGGTGATGCAGCACCACCAGCAGCAAGCGCAGCAGCACCAGCAGCAGCAAGAGCAGCAGAACAATCAGAAGCAACAGCAGCAGCTTCTTCTGCTTTTGCTGATGCTGGTTTCTACTTCCGCTGTTTCTGCTTCAGCTACTGATTCTTCTTCCGTTTCTTTGCTGCTGCTGCTGCTGCTGCTGCTGCTGTTACTCTTGCTGCTGCTGCTGCTGTTGCTGCTGCTGCTGCTGCTGCTGCTGCATGCATGCATGGATTTATATGAATTCCCACTGTATGTGTTCTAAGGGCCCTTCTGTTACCTTAGGGATATCCCAGTTGCTGTTTAAAATAAACTTTGATTGCTGCAGCGCGTTGCGGATAGCGATAGCTTCAGCAGCAGCAGCAGCAGCAGCAGCAGCATCTTCTTCGCTGCCTTCTTGTATATGCACTTCACGCACAGCACCGCCCCCAGGCAAAGGAGACACTGTCTCTTTTACCTTCCCTGTTGCTGCCCTTTCTGCTGCTGCTCCTGCATCTTCTGCTGTTCCTCCTGCTGCTGCTGCTGCTGGTGCTGCTGCTGAGTTGCGGCTGCGCTTCAGAGCCTGCAGCCGCTGCTGCAGGAAAGACAAGAGATGATTGTCTTGAGATACTCCCTCCCAAAGACGGTGTCTCCTTGATGCCCTGTTGCATTTTATGTCTGTCTCTTCTGCTGCTGCTGTTGCTGCTGCTGCTGCTGCTCCTTCTGGGGTTTGCTGCTGCTGCTGCTTATCCTCTTCCTGCTGTTGTTGTTGGTCGTCGTTGATGCCTAGAGAGCGCAGGAGCTGCTGTGCTGCAGCTTGCTGCAGCTGCTGCAGTTGCTGCTGCTGCTGTTTATATTTTGCTGCAGACACCTCAGCAGCAGCAAATACAGAATCTCTGTTTTTAATTATATCGCCTGGCTGCTGCTCAAGGGCTTTCGTTGTTAGCAGCATCTTTCCCGTTGTCTGCAATTAAAACAAAGACAAACAAAACAAAACAAAGACATCAAAATATATTTACAGCCCCGCACTCACTCGGGTGTATACGCACATCATATAGGCGTAATTATATGCATGCATGCATGCATATAATTATGTCTTTAAATGTTTATTATAACAATAATATCTTTAAATGTTTATTATAATAATAAAAATAATGTTTATTAATAATGTCTCTAAATGCTATTTATTATCTTTAAATTCTCTTTAATATCTTTAAGCGTATATGATAATAATAATATCTTTAAATGTTTATTATAATATCTTTAAGTGTATATAATAATAATATCTTTAAAGCCTATTTAATATCTTTAAATGCTGATAACACTAAAAAGTCTTCATAATGTCTTTAATACATATCTATATATGTATGTATATCTAATATATATAGATATATATATATGTATATATCTATATATGCATAAATACATCTATATATAGACATAGATAGATAAATAAATACATATATATATAGAATAGACATATAAAGATATATAAAGATATATAAAGATATATAAAGATATATATATATATATATATTGTATTAACAAAGATGTTTCTTAAAAAGACTTACTGGATTATAACTTTTAACAATTGCACGTATTTTGTCGCCAACTTTAAAAACAAGAAAGGGGTCAACAGACACCCGAGATATCTCTGATGCATGCAGCAACGCACGGCTGCACCCTATCTGCAGCAGCAACAGCAGCAACAGCAGCAGCATCAGTAGTAGTAGTAGCAGTAATAGTATCACCAGCAGTAGTAGTAGTAGCAGCAGTAGCAACAGCAGCAAGAGGAGTAATAGTAGTAGTAGCAGCAGCAGCAGCAGCAGCAGCAAGAGCAGTACTAGCAGCAGCAGCAGCAGCAGGAGCAAGACCAGTACTAGCAGCAGCAGCAGCAATAATAGTATATGATTTAGTCTGAACAATAAATAAAAGATAGAGGCAGAATAAAATATAATAAAAAGAGAACTAAAATGCTTGAAGGAGACATAATAGAAATGCAAAAGGAGACAGGCTGAGGAGACACTTACTTCAACAACACAACCAAAATTATATATCTCTTTTATTATCCCTGAGACAATGCTGCCGCTTCTAATTTTTAAGCAGCTTAGTTCTGAGCGGCTTATAGGAAGCCGCTCGCTAACAAGCAGCCTTCTCCTTGCTATGTCTGCATGCAGCACCTGCACCACTACTGGCTGCTGCACCTGCACCTGCTGCTGCTGCTGCTGCTGCTGCTGCTGCTGCTGCTGCTGCTGAGGGGGCTCCAGTAATGAAGCGTTGCAAACGTGAGAAGCGGGCAAGAAACCAGGAATGCCTAATACCTTCACCACCACACCCCCTATGCACAAACAGCAGCAGCAGCAGCAGCAGCAGCAGCAGCAGCAGCAGCAGCAGCAGCAACAGCAGCAGCAACAGCGGAGGCAGAAGCAGCACCAGAAGGAGCAGCAAAAGTAGCAAAGAAGGAGCAGCAAAACCAGAAACAGCACGAGTAACACAAGCAGCAGCAGCAGCAGCAACAGCAGCAACAGCAACAGCAGCAGCAACAGCAGCAGCAGCAGCAGCAGCACATGCACAAGGAAGATTTTATCCTGCTGCCTGGGTCTGCCCTGATCCCTATTTAAAACCACACTCCTTTAGCTAGCCCAGCTAGCTGCACTTGCAGCTAGCTGTCTGCCCTCTGAGTGCATGTGTGGCGTCGTGCATGCATGTGTGCATGCAGAAGCAGCAGCAGCCTCAACAGCAGCAGCCTCAACAGC